CCCCCCCCCCCCGATGCAGATATGGGCAACAGAGTGGACACACGAGGCTCTTGTACGTTTGCGGTAATATCGAAGGTCAAAGGTCAAAGGAAGTTTTAGCAAACACGTAGTGGCCGTATTCAGAGTGATGCAGGAAGCTGCACATGCAAGACAAACCGTTAGATCTCAGGACCTGCATTTCCAGGCTGTATAACCAGGATTCACTGAAGAACCACATCAGAAGATCTGGCTGTATTTCTGGGTATTGTGTCATGCATAGCCACAGGGTTGGACCAACTTTATCACATTTATAAGCCTTCTGGAAGCTGTAGTAACCCTCTTCTCTTAAGAAATATTCAATGGAACTTCAATAGAACTAGTTTCTGGTCTGTAGAAAGGAGGATAGTGAGTTCAAACACATCAAATTCTTCTCAGAATCGTAATTTACTGTCTGTGGCCTTGGAAGTTACCAGGTAGGTGTTAGGACTCCAGTTAAACTTAAGGACACAGGGCTGAACACCAGAGGTGGAAAGTTCAAGTCCAGAAAGTACAAATCCAGAACATCGGTTTTGTTTCACCTAACCAATTGAGTATAAAGAGTCACAGTCACAGAGTACTCCAACCAGTTGAGTATAAAGAGTCACAGTCACAGAGTATTCACAGAATTTGTTGAATCAAAACCTTAGTCTGGATTTGTACTTTCTGGCCTGAATTTTCCACCTCTGCTGAACACAGATAGTATGGAAAACCCAGATTAACACGTATATCAGGAGAGAGTGAAGACAAAGCACAACCAGGGCTGCGTGTGTTTCTGTAACTTTATTGTAAAAAATAACAATATGAACACAAGCTATGTAAACAAGCCGACAGGAGGGCAAAGCTCATTAGCGTCTCGCTAGCGCGTCGACAAAGGGCCAAATCGAAAGCCTCTCCAAAAATCGGAGGCAGAGATGAAATCGTAACCACGGTGACCATCTTCCACAGTAGACCGTTTATTCGTCCTTGGCTAAGGGCCCTCGTCTTCATTACGAACTCGCGCAGCATATTTTCCCTGGAAGCACCATGCGGTATCACTGGGCTCAGAGGTGAGAAAAACAAACAAGGCTGGACACGGACCAGCCTGCGCTGCAGAGCCGAGGTCCGAAAGCCAAGGTATGGCAGTACAGTAGCTTCCTTCATGCAAGCCCTCTACAGTTACACTCATAAGGGCATCACCTCCGTCGGACATTACACTCTTGGATTCGATCATCTTAGCCTCCTAATACTGGGTCTTGAAGGCCCTTCAATCTCCTACTTCCTGTAGCCACATTCCAGAGTCCACCGATCGCCACTCTGCATAAACGTCGCTGGCACTGCGACGCTCCCCCCCGCTGCCGAGCTACACTGATCCTTCGAATCTGCAATCTGCAGTAAAGGTGGGTCGACAGGCCTCACTGTCACTCATGCCGATAATGGCCGGCTCCCTAACCCCGTCCCATATTCCTCAGGTGTGCAAACAGATCTCCTGACTGATTCCTTGAGTCATCTACTATTGAGTTGCTACTCAAACTTAAGGGGGTGACCTGGGGACACAATATTGAGTACTGAAGTCCAATTGCCCAAACCATGCAGGAGAGCTAAACAGTTTGGGATGTTTAAGATGCAAAAAAATACCCACGGAATATATAAATATAATTGTAATTTCCATATACTTCTATTTTGAATGGAATTCCTATATAAACTACTTCCGTTTTCAGGCAATACATTCCACCTCTCCCCCAATGTCTTTCTGTCACCCTCTCCACGTTTTGCCCTCTTCCTCTCTTCCCTTCTTCCCTTCTTCACCCCCTCTGGGCTTCCTGTGACATGGAGCGGCCCAGAGATCTGGGCGCTTTGGCGAAGTCCATGCGCATGGGCTGCACCGGTGGCAGGTCCTTGGTGATGTCGCACACCTCCCTCTTGGTGGGGCAGGAGCCGTCGGGGACGGGGAAGGCGCGCAGGTCCTCCAGGATGTGGGGGGCACCGCGGCCCAGCCGGACGCCCAGCTCTGCGGGGGTGAAAATGGGCAGGGGCAGGGTGTTCCTGTAGGGTAGCTGCTGGTGCTCCCTCACCCCCTGCTCCAGGGTGCCCAGGCGAATCACCCCCGAGGGGCAGGCCTGCACCAACCGCCGCGCCTCCCACTGGCGGGAGTAGGACTCGCGCCGATCCTTGTCCACCTCGTGCACGGTTTGCCTGTAAGGGTCAGCGTATCGTATTAGATCATAGATGATTCAACGCTGAGTTTATAAGCCTCTGTCCTTCCATCAGCATTTTTCAGGGTTGTATCAATTAGCCACTGAACTTCCAGACGACGATTAAAGATTTAAACACGGCAAAAGCAAGTTAGTGCTTTATCTTCAGAGAGACAGGATTACTAAACCTGTTTTACGCACTACACTGCTTAAGTGAAACATGCTTTGAAGCCAACAGGGTTATGAGAGAGCGGTAAGGAGACCAACCACATGACAAACCACCTCAGGGACGAGAACCTGAGTGCAGCCGGTGCGATACACCAGCACCACACTAGTAAGACAGAACAGTGGGAGCTTTTTCCAGGAGGTGGAGTACTGATCCTGCCACCAACCCCAAATTTTCCCTGTAAGTTGGAAGACCTGCTTATAGGGCTGGATGTAGAGTAACATTGTGAGTAGAAGCAGCCTTCGACAATCACACTATACTCAGCAGGTAAAGCATTGAGCTAATGATCACAAGGTAATCGGTCAGAATCCCACACTCACCCGTCTTCCGGCTGCGTCTTCAGCTCCACGCTGTTCCAGTCGGCGCTGTGGCTCTCCTTGCGTGTCGGGTTTCCGTCCCGCACGCTGCAGGCCAGTCTGGCCCCCGCCACGTTTCCCCCCTGCTTCACCAGCATGGTACGGCCCTGCATCCTGGCGATCTGTACTGCGGTCTGGCTCAACGTCTACGGAGGATGTCTAGGTCTCTCACTGCCTGTCCCCCCTGGGGTGTCTCTCTCGGGTTTTTTCTCTCTGAGGGGGGGGGGGGGGTTTCGGTGCCTGCTGGTGGCCTGTGAGTTTGGCTGTCTACTGAGGGGTCTCTTCATTCAGCTTTTATAGACGCTCGGCTACTATTTCCAATCGATGGTCTCACTCTGCACCGTCCCTGACAAGACACTTGACACCGGGGCACTGGACACGATGGCGGGGGGAGAGGGGGCGGGCACAGTACAGCTGAGTGTGCTGATAGTCCAACAATGCAACCCCCGGCCATCCCCTTTAATCCTCCCAGGATAAAATGGGTAACAGTAATTCCTCTGAAATCACACACACACACAATGGGATACAGACACATGTTCTGTAAGTGGGGACAGACCTACACAAATACCACACTCGGCCATCTGTACGGCACGTTAATGACAATGGCGGGGAGGGAGACTCTGATAATGGGGGGGGGCACGCGGCAGCTGAGAGCTTTTGGAAGGACGCTGAAGGGCGCCGACGGCCAGGTCTTTGCCGATGGCACTGGGCGTCACACTCGAACACACGCAGGAACTCTATCTGACGCTAGATCAGAAAGACAAAATGTCATGTGATCTTACTCACTTTTGTTAAGTTTTGCCACGTTTAGTCCAACAGTAGGTGCGGTGTAGTGAGTGACAAGCAAAGAAAATTCCGTTCGATTCAGTTTTATTTGTACAGCGCACTTTCACAACCTTACATTGTCTTAAAGCGCTTTAAATTATCCCGGCCCAAAGCCCCCAGTGAGCAAGCTAGAGGTGACAGTGGCAAGGAAAAACTTCCTAGTAGGAAAAAAACCTTGGGAGGAACCAGATTCAGAGGGTGAGCCCGTCCTCCAGGAAGTCAAATAAAGAAAATGACTAAATTAGTGTAACGTAGTGCAGATTTTAAGATTGTAGTGTAAATGCGAAGGTCAGACAGGTGATGGTGTTGCTTCCACTGGCACGATGAACGGGGGTACGCCAGCTGGGCAGGTAGGAGAGACCAAAATGGAACAATTCAAAAAGAAATAAAAAACGTTTGTAGCACATCACAGTATGTATTATTTTTGAACGCTACATATCTGCAGTCGGGAGAGAGCACAGATCCAGGGACGGGAAAGTTTTGATTAATTAATCTCTTTCTCTCACACACCCACACATTCTCAATGGGACACAGTTGTTGTGCTTTTGTCTTAATCTATTTATAGAATAAACATACGACATTTCAATATTATAAAAATCGTTCAAACAAATCAAGCAGAAGCTTTCTTCCCGAAGCTTGCAGTTAAGCCCCGCCCCCCAAGCCAACCAGGCCCCGCCCACTCCACGCCCTGCCTGTCTCAGATTACGGCAGAACCAGCGAGGAAGCGCATTCACGCAGCCCACAGTGCTCCCCCCCCCAGCCCCCTGTGACTCACCGTCCTGTTTAAGCTCTGACATTGCCTTGCCCCCACCTCACCCCCCCCACCACATGCCGCTTTCCACACGGCAAGCAAATACTTCAAGAAAACAAAACGCTGAATCATATACACATAACATTAAAATGCGTCACCTGCTTCAGTGACCCTTACCAGGGAGTGGCCGACACACGTATCGAACTACACTGACGGAAATATGTCCATATTGGATTTATTTTTTAAATCAAACAATTAAACATGTGCCTCATATTTTTCACATTCCAGAAAGGAGCTCAGAAGTCCCAGGATTGGGTTTAGGTTACACACTCATACAGGTGCAGACTGTGATGTAACTGGTACAGGGCGATACAAGTCCACCCCCAGTCCCAACGGGACACTTACTGGAAAGACCCTTGGGACATCAATTAAGGTGGCGAGAGGGGGATTACAGTTTATGAAACTTAATAAGTGGATAGAATGTGATGTGTGTGTCTATGTTCTGGAAATAAACTCAGCGCATTGAGATCAGGACACGACACGTGTCAAAAAATCCGTACAGGACTGTACACTGAGTGGATGGATATATGGTATTAAAGCAATAAGAACCACAATTCCCACCTCAAACTCCTATTTTCAGTTCAGCAGGTCAGGTGATGACGGTGGAGACGGCGATGGTGACCGAAGGTCCTTCAGAGAGGCTCGGATGGAAAGATTAATAATTTCAGCTGGACAGTCATTCCCTCCGCACTGTCTGGAATGCAGCGTTGCGTAACCTCAAGCGATAGGGTGGCGAGATGTTAAAGATCTGACAGAGGAAGACAGAGAGAGAGAGAGAGAGACTGAGGTAGGGTGAGTTCTGGTTTTGTGGCCTTTCCTGTACCTCTCTAATCCACGGGAATGAGAGAGGAGTGGAAAAAAAAACACAGAAATTGTGTTTGGAGGAAGAGAATTGAAGGGGGGATGGATGAGGAAGGAGAGAGTGTGTCAGGGTGAGAATGAAACAACAAGCCGCAAACATAAAATGCGGTGTGATAAAGTCACTCTGTGGAGTGTCAGGAACCCCCTGGCTTATTATAAACACAAGCATTTAGGAGATACCCTGACACAGGAATGGAGGAGAAAGTGACTATGTGTGACACAGTTTAGGAAGGTCTTCTGGAAAGTTCTAGTCATATCAGTGAAGGGAAAACTTGTCAACACACACAAGGGCACATTAATGCTGCTGATGGACAATGGAATGAGAAAGAGGACTGCAACAATGGAAAGAGAATTAATGGAAGAATTAGGATAGCGGACAGATGCCATCGCAGGTGGTGGACCGTGCAGGGCATTATGGGAAAACGAATCCAAATAAACTGGAAGGAATGCCTGTGCCCAGACACATGCACGGAGTCGATATGGGACAACGAAGTCCTAGAGGAACGAGTGAACAGAAGATTAATGGAAGAGTCAGGAGACTTGACAAGATGCCATCGTCTCTTTTACATCAAGGAATTATGGGAAAAATCAAAACAAACCGTGGGAGGGATTCCTGTGTGTGTTTTAACAGATGCGCTTTGTTGAAAGACATGCCCTTTTATAAGTGGACAGTTATATAACGCGGAGACTATCAGGCACCGAAAGAACACCCACTGGCCCTGGGGGTGGAGCGGGGGGGGGGGCTATAAGGCCTTGTCTGAGGTGGGAGGGCAGAGGGGTGTGGCTTTAAAGTAGAATGGGGTCCGGATTGCTGGACTTCGTGTCCCCGAACATCCCGGACATCTCATGTAAGGTCATCGGCTGTAACCGTGGTGGTGCTGACATGTGATGGGGACTTTGGGGATTTTCAGTGACGCTAAAGCTCAGGCCCACACATAGGGGCAAAAATAGAACGGAATCAAAACACCCCGCCCACCAAAACACCCCAGCATCTCTAGCTCCTTTCCAACAGTCACAAAGGACCAACCGAGCTTCTCTAATGTGTGTTTTAATACCTGTGGTCACCTTGACGTCTTACAGTGACGCTCACCAGCTTTAAGGTCCTCATAAAGAGACAGACGTCTGCTTGAACTTGGGGCAACACAAAGGAGAAACGTGAAACTTATCGCTATAACGTTCTCGTACATGTTCTGCCTTCCTCTCCACAAGATGGCGCCATCCATTTCCGGTACACAGCTCAGATGTAATTGCGACACCGCTGCTCGCAGTCCAGGCGTCAGTAAGCAGTTTGCTCACCGCACTTTACGCGGTAGCGTTTACTCTGCTTAGCACTCGCAACGCAAGCAGCAACCTCGCATACTAAGCGATACCTGGCTTAGCGACCTTAAGCACGGTAGCTATGACACAGGAAAATTAAGAAAGTCTTTGGTACACATACATTAAACTTTTTCTGCGTAATATAAAAGGGATGAAGAAGCAGTAATATTGACTATAAAAGTAAAGGACTAAACAATGCAAATGCTAGATGCTCAGACAATATTCTTATTGGAAGAACCAGCTGGATGATCTACTGGAACAATCCAGGGGAAGAACGTTTCTGTAAGGTACTTTTACAGTGTCCCCTAGGGTGGTGAACTTGCAGTCGTCAGGTTTATGCTCTCAGACATCCCACCTTAAGCGTATTGATTTCACCGAAGCGTTTGAGGGACAACTGGGAGAAGGTACAGGCTCGGTTTGGGAAGCATTACGGTAATACCGTTTACCGCAGCATCTTGGTTGGAAAATACCATGCCCCCCCACAGTATGGGGAAATGAATCGTGGTGCTTTATAAAATACCATAAGAATATTGCATCTCAGTACATGTGCGTAAATTATGGAGGGGGGGGGGGGGGCAATACAACCCCAGTGGGACAGGACACTCCCGAGACTTTCGCGAGAGGGACGATATCAGTTCTCTTAGCCATAGATATATACGAAGTACTAGCAATTAGCAAAGTGAACAAAGAGCTTAATCTGTAACCAAAAATACAGGTTTAAGGGGCCTTGCTATTAAATGGCCTCAGATACATCCTCCGACCCCCTCCCCCAGGATGGACGATCCCTCCGCCTTGCACCCTGAGGCATGAGACAGCGGGGGCCGCATTATTCCACCCCCAGTCCCCTCCACAGTGTCTCCCCCGCCTTTGAGTGGTGAACCTTTGCATTTCCATCCCACCATGTGCGTCTATTTTTATAGACACAGCTCGTGTAGTGTCACCACAGGTCAGTTTACGCACAGGGTGACGTTGGCTTAGTCATACGGGTAAAAAAGCTCTGCCTTTGTGACTTGGTGACTACAGCCATCTTAAGTCAGTGGTTAAACCTGGATTTTACGCTGTGGGATTGCACACGTCGTCACTGCGGTGACATCACATACTGTAACATAACACTGCCTAGTGATTCTGGGCTTTTCTCGTAAGACAAACCCAAATCCACTGAACCACCATAAGACCCTCGATTTTTACAGTATAGCTAATACACTTTGCATTGGCTTCTTGAAACATTTCTATTAAACATATTTGCTCATGTATAGACCAAAACACAGACAACACAAAAACCCACAGCAATAAACTTTAGACTCGTATCGTATTTATGTATTGGTGAATTTCAATAATTAAAATTTAATCTTAAAATTAAGCTAGCTTTTAATGAGGGAAAAAAAATAGTTTTTTTGTCACAAGACGTATTGAGGTCCCCGAGGCTGTTCTGCTTATTATGAACATAAACTCGGATATTAAAAATTATATCCATCCATCCATTTTCTGAAACTGCTTGTCGTATTCGCGAGGGGTCTGGAGCCTATCCTGGAGGCTGCGGGTGAAAGGCAGGGTACAACTCAGGATGGGGCGCAAACCCATCGCAGGGCACAGCAGTGACATTAATGTCATTAAACAATATTAACTGTTATATCAAGATTAGGTTTTAACAGCTAACTCCAGATGCTCAAAAGTCTGTTACGGCACTTAGTGCAGAAGTGCTGGCTGAGCAGTTATTTTTTTTATACTTTTTTCTACCTAGAACAAATGGAATTAAGTGTTTTTTTGTTAAAGGACAGTACAACAGCACCAGGCCCGAGCATTTCCATCCATCTTCCATATATGACCCCTTATGTGACACAGCAGGGAAATTCACGGTCATCGAGGCCCAAGCCATGTTGATTTCCCAGCATTCCTTTACCTGTCAGCCAGGTGTGAAGCCTCTGACCAATCAGAATCAGTAATTATCAAACTAACTACCTGGGAGAACTGAAAACAAGGCCTGGATTTGGAATCGAGTGCCAGACTTAAAGAGCCCTGCACTTCAGGGTGACGGGGAGCCGGAATCCAGTCCCAGACAGCACAGGACTATGGGGACATGAACCTGTAACGCCAGCCCAGGGGGGGGGGTGAAGCTACAGTACACTGGACCACTGTGTCACCCTTAACCACAACGCCACCTACTGTTGAAGGCCGTTAAACTGATGAACTCCCATAACATGTCGCTTTTAGGCATTTGCATGTATCAGTTTGCAGTCTTTTGGGTGGAAAGGGTCACACATGAGAGAGCCAGTGGTGGATCAAAGTCGAGACCTGCGCAAAAAAGCCAGAAATGACTAATGAGCGGCCCCTTAATGTGCCACCCATAGAAGGGGAAGATGCTGGCCCTAAACATGATTCTCCCCCACCGGTGGTGCAAGACCCCAGGAGATCCACCCACAGTTGCCCCCGGAAGAGGCAGTGACTCACACAGCCAAACAGTTAAAGCTCAGTTCTGAGCTTTGATGAGCTCAGACCTCCCTGTAAACACTGGCTGTGTCACTGAGGACTCACATTGATGCTTGTTATACATTTCACTCCCTGGCCCTCCTAGACACAATCCTGGCTCTGATCCTGTCCACAGTCCCCCCCCCCCCGTGAAAGTCACACAGATTTTCCAGGCTTAGCTCCCGCTTCCCCCTCGCGTCACGGAGCACCTGCTGCGAGGCTTTGATGTCCACGCGGGGACGCCGATGGTCCTGCAGCGGAAGCGTGGCTTCGTGGGCTGGCCCTACAGCAAGGCCCGACAGCCCACGTTAAGTCCCGTTTCACTTCAGCCGTGCCAATAAGTGAGTGTTTGTTATTCTAATAAATTAAAGTAAATCGGCCCCTAAGTGAGATCGAGTTCGGCTTGGAATGCAACGGTGCTCAAAATTTGACATACGTCCACAGTGCCTCCTTGTGGCCATTTTAGGTAAAACCAGCTGGGCTGAAAATAAAGATGTTGCCCACTCTTTCTGTACTGTGCCCGTATTTCCCTGCTAACAAAAATGACCCATTCCCTGCAAGACTGGGTTTTCGGTTGAGGCTTCTCCACGTGCTCTGGGTTACAGTGAAGTCCACATTTTAAACGTCCAGGTATCGCTGTCTTGGTGTATCGCGGTAGGTGGCCTTCTTATACGCCGCATGAGTTTGAGAAGTGAGCACAACTCAGTGACAGCAGACATGAGACTTCAAAAGCAGCGGGTAATGGTGGTGCTGCATGCTGCCAGTTGCTGACCCGCTTAACCCACTTCCCATGGTTTACTTTGGTCAATTCAAACTGGGGTAAACTGGAGAATGACAGACAAGAGCGTCCAGGAGTAGGGGTCTGTGGAGCAAGAGCCTCAACAAGGGTGCCTCTTCATCCCGGTGGTCTTCCGCAAAGCAGACGCCAGCCCAAGATCATAAATGCTTGAACGTCAAATGGGGGGATTTGAGCAATAAAGATGAAGAACACAACAGTCACCCCACCAATGATGAACAGCCAGTGTTGACAGCTCACACTTCCCTAGCACACCTGGACAGAAGCTTCTGAAGTCATGGGTTGAGTCACCTGAAGTGGTGCTTCAGGAACTTGTGGGTTAACCTGCCTTGCAGGTCACTGCAAATCCCGCACTATAAATCAAACCAGTGAAATATATCGGATTTAACTAGTCAAAGCAATGACTGGATTGAACTTGACTTCATGGTTAACCTACTGAACAACCTACTGAATATTTGAATATACAGATGGTTCTCAACTGACGATGGGGTCATGTTCTAATGGACCCATCATAAATTGAAAATACGTTAATTTAAACATAAACACTGTATGAGATATTTACGCTCACAATGTGGCTGGGTGGGTGCTGTGCTGCGTATCGCTAACCCGGGAAGGATCAAAATTTAAAGTTTAATGAATACTGACTCCGTATTGCTATTGCGCAATCATAACGTTGAAACATCGTAAGTTAAACACATCGTAAAGCGAGGAGCTACTGTACTGTAGATCAAGGGTGTCAAACTCCAGTCCTGGGGGGCCGGAGCCCTGTGTAGCTTAGTTCTTTCCCTGTTCCACCACAAATGATTCAGCTCAAGAGCTGTGTGATAATTAGCACAAGGAGTTGAATCAGGTGTGTTCATTTTTGGAAACCCAAAAATGTGCAGGGCTCCGGCCCCCAAGGACTGGAGTTTGACACCCCTGCTGTAGAGTTTCATTACCGCTAAGCCTCATGAATCTCCAAAGTTAGGCTTGAAGTCATGGGATCATGAATCTCCTTTGGGTCCTTTGATGCCAAAGAGCTTTGCTAGAAGAGTCAGTTAAAGTAGGTCCAGTGCCACTGGTCCCTTGGTGTCCATTAAATGGATCTATCTGGTAGGGGTCGTCTCCGTTCCCTTCATAGTTCCTGTTCGTATTCTTGGACCTGAAACCAAAACTGAACCGGTCTGGAGGTGAACCTTCTAAGGCCTGGTATAAAAGAACTAGATTCTTCGAGGTAGGATGTAGCAAATGGCAAAGAGTCATCATCTCAGGAGAAGATGATGTCATGAAACAGAAGAGTACTTATCTCGACACATACTCACAGTGATGTAACATGCCAGCCAGAGCAATGAACTCCCATCAGTCACGTGATCCGCACTTTGGCTCTGAAGCGTGCGATTCCTTTTCGGCGGGAAGCTGAGGAACACGCTGCTGAGGACGCGGAGAGGCAGCGCCTCTGACAGCAGACTCTCACGGTGCTATTAAAACACGAAAAGCCTTCAGAGTCTGTCTCGGGGCGACGCCACGCCATCCCTCCTCAAGGCAGTCAGTACGAGTTTAAAATCCCGCCAGGTTATTGGATAATTGGGACATCTAAGTCATGGGGAACAGCTGAAAAGGAGAAGATTGAAAAAACTTTTAGTGTAGAAGCAACTTCACAAAAAAAATCCAATATGACGTGTTTATTAAGGGAAAGCTAGCTAGTACAGCAAATGTTATTGAAAATCGTTCCACAGCGAGAGCCTGACGGCTCATCTCAGTGGCCACTGTAATCACACAGTGCAGGACACCATAAACCATCTCATCATGGCGCTCAGAGAACAGCTGGCCGTCTCCTGGGGTAACGCAGAAAAATCACCAGGCTCATGTTCGCCAGTCATCCAGCCGTGCTTCCGAGGGTCCCAGACCAGGCAGTGCCATCAGTCACATCCATCCGGCCGGCCGCTCAACACAAAGGTCAAAGGTTAAAGGCTGCTCATAACACGAAGACAAACACACCACCCGCCCTGCCTTTCAGCTGTCGTTCTCGCCGGTTCTGGTCTGGGAGGGTTCCAGAAAAGCAGGACAGTTGAGGACACAGCTGTGTCCTGACGATCGAGGCGGCGAGAATCCACTCAAGTATTCTGTGGAAATGGGTGTGAGCTTCTCCTCCGCGACGTAACATGTAAATATGCAAGTCTGAGAAACACTCGCCAAATTCCAACCGAACAAGGCTGGCATCAACGGTGCGTTCAATCATCTTTCCGAAGTCGTAAATTCCGAGGTGCGCGACGTCACGTCCGACCAATCTCTCGTTCGAGCTACACAAACAGGGCTGCCTCCATGAACAAGCTGTTGTGTGATGCTGCTTTATATTTATATTTGGAGTCAGATTCTTTTTTTCTGAGAGACAAACAAGAAACACTAACTAGTCAAACCACATTAAAAACTTTATATTTTAGTAGATCCATAGCGGTATTCTTTTTTTGAGAGGCAAACAAACTACAAACAAACAATAGACACTAACAAGTCTGGTAAAAATCTGATATCGCATGTTAGGAAACTTTACGGACATGATATGGTATTCTCTAAATCGACCATGTGCAATTAAATGTATTAATAGTTATAAATGTAACAAAATAAACATTTTAAAATATTTATAAAATAGAATTACTGTTGACTGTGTAAGCTGCCACATTCAAATGACGTCACAGGGGAATCTCGGACAACAAAATTCTGTCCGACACCAACGTCACAAAGGAGGCGCGTTTCTGACGGAAAGTGACATTTTTCCATGACGTTTTTACCCGAGTTCCGACTCGGAGAGAGATAATCGAACGCAGGACAAGCACCCATCCCAGGGGGAGTGACGGAGAGTCACCGTCACAAGGGCCGTGCATTAGAGGAGCAACGAGACCAAAGAGCAGAGACGCGAGGGCCAGGAGATGCAGCTGACTGTGAGGACAGCCAGTATCTACAGTGTAACTGCTGCCAAGGCAGCCATATGCCGATTTCTCCACAGGGCTGACACTCATCAAATGGCAGTCAGTCCATGGCTGTAATGTGATCCCGGCCCCTCAAGGCTGATTTTGATTGGCTGGTATCATAGCAGCTTGGATCTACTGGACAACTGTTAGACCAGCTGTCAAATCCACACAGTAACACACAGTCATTTGTTTTACTTTTTATTACAAACCTTTTTGGTTCAGGTCCCTTAGTAACAAGGAAGACTGACTAAAAAAACATTGTGAAAAAGTCACATTATTATTCAGGATTACGTGTTAGTTGTTACTGAATTAAGTAAAAAAAATAATAATAATTGGTCTAAATCTGAAAAGTAAAAATGTACAAACACTAATACATTTCTACTACAGCACCAAGAAAACTTTGGCAATACCCTCATCTTCATTAAAAGTGACAATTTCCTGACAAAACATAGAAGACATGAATTTAACAAGGCCTAGGTCCCATTACTGTTCTATATGACAGACAGACAAAGGCTTTTCTCACTCGTGTGTGCTTGCTCCCTCTACTGACCAAAAAGAGGTACAACAGATGTTGCATTGTGAGCAGGCAAAACGAAAGCAAAAACGTGTGTGTGGGCAAATGTGTGTTTACCTTGCGCAGTTTGCGAGTTTAGCTGCCCAATATTAAAATGATAAAAATAGAGGTAACTTTACAAACACTGTCCCATTATTTCCACTGTGGAGCATTTTGGCAGTCGTCATGTTAAAAATTCAATTCTCCCAGCATTTTACAGAATAAGCAAAACAATACCAGTATAAATGATCCTTGGGTTCGATTCCCTTGTGCTAGTATGTCCTCCATGCTGGTTAAGAGGGTTGAGTGGTCAATAAAATCTGAGGGATGATAGAAGTTCAAGGTCCACCACCCTATTTTGTTAGCAAAAAAAAATAAATCCAGTCACTAACTGCAGTGCCACCTCCCAGCCAGAGGGGGGGGGCTGTAGGCACAGTAACAGTGGGTGGTATTTAGCAGTGTGTGGCCTGCAGCTCGCAAATTCTCTGTCGCAAGTGGCTCATGAACTCGAACATGGTGGCGGCGAGGCTCTGGTGGATGAGGTAGCGGGGCAGTCGGCCCTAGGAAGTGGCGAACGTCAAGATTAATAAGCGGCTCCGATGAAATACAACGGCAAAAACAAGAACGAAAGCTGAGAGACGGGGAAAGGAAGTTATTAAGTAGCTACCCCTGTGGTCCCAAACGCACAGACACTCGCAAAGAAGAGATTTGGCAGTAAACTGAGGATCCCTCACCTTTAGGTCTGTGTTGAGAATCCAGATAAAGGTGCATAGGGACGGATTGGTGCTGCACTTCAGTAACACAAAGCCTCCTGGCCCATTCTCACCCCTGCGGGGGGGGGGGGGCAGACAGAGAAACAGTACTTTTAAACACAGATTCCTGAGATACTAATAATACTTTGTATATTCCACTGTGACGTTTCACGCCAACCTGACATAACAGTCCTGGAGGGGCCGAGCGCCGTGGACAGCGGCCATCCCAGCAGACAGGTAGCAGTCGTGCCTTCGCTCCACCCGCCGAACGTTCACGAAGTCCCTGCGAGAGCAGGAGGGAGGGGGCCAGTCTGACTGGGACTCGGAGAGAGCAAAAATGTGGTCCGACTGAGTCCTCAACGATCGGGTAAGTAACCGTGGCGACTATCGGTACCTTGGGGCCACAACACCCCCCGCTGCACCTGCAGAGACGTCGTAGGACACCATGGTGTTGTCATCTACACGCTGCAGGATCTGAGGTGGGGGGGGGGGGTGGCATCAAGACAGAATTCAGCAGACTGACAGGATGAGGAAGGTGATGAAGGAGACTGAGGGAAGGTCACCTGACAGGCCAAGATGGTTTTGTTCCACTGCACCATCTTCTCAGGCTGCAGGATGACTTCCTGGTATACCAGCTCAGCCGGACACTGCAGTAAAGCCTGAGGACATGTATGAGCACCAGATTCTGAAGACCGCATGCCCTTTGTTTACGAACTATATCAATTACAAAATGGAACATAATTGGCTCCCGTGTCAGGTAAACGCCTGTGCTTGCAGGCATACAAAGTGGGTTTATTGGTTTAAACAAGGTTTCTTGAGACTTACTTCCAAGTTTTAGGTACTACGAATTGCAGCTCATTTTTAAATGGGGCTTGTTGTCCTGGTAATTTCTGCTGCACGCCTAACCTACTGAATTGATAATCACCGTCGTAGTACCATTTATCACACTGATTTCTGCAAATCAGGGTTAGTAATCCCTACTCTAGCAAGGGTATATAAAACTCCCTTTGCAGACTGAGATCCTCACAATAAAAACATGAGGTGTGGTGAAAATAAACAGGCCACATGTAACAGGGAATGGGCGGCCAATCCCCTCCCAGCTCAGCAGTCACCCTATAGGGGGCGTGGCAAACAGAACACTGGGGACAGCCAATCAGAGAAGAGGGCGCCGCCTACCTTGATGATGAATGTCTTGCCATAGAATGGGATCTCCATCGAGTATACAGCGTCACCCTGAACCTGCTGGCAAAATAAGACCAGTGACCTTGCACATCTGGTGCGATTCACCCAACCACCATGCCCAAATACGAAGACACACCATCTAAATCCTACTTGAGAGACCCGACTTTAACAGGACAGCGATTCTGCCATTGTGAGGATTGATTCTGCCTTCAATGCAATTAATGGTTCCCTACCCACTCTGGCAAAACTGTCTTTGTGGGGTCATTACTTGACAGGTTTTGCATGCACACACTACTGCGCGCATACGCCTGCACACATGCACACACTACTGCGCGCATAGGCCTGCACACATGCACACACTACTGGGCGCATACGCCTGCACACATGCACACACTACTGCGCGCATACGCCTGCACACATGCGCACACTACTGCGCGCATACGCCTGCGCACATGCACACACTACTGCGCACATAGGCCTCCACACATGCACACTACCACAGCCACATGCTCGCAGACGTACACAGCTTCCGTGTCCATCACTTACATTGCTCTTCTCAAACTTCCAGCTGTCTTCCTGAGCCAGAATCCGCTCCACCACCGCCATGGCCTCCCTGCCCAGCCGCACAAACTCTTTGTCCTGGCAAGAGACACACAGCGTTCCGCAATGAGTGACAGGCGTTTGCACGACAATCCCAAAGCACAGCCACCACTATTGATCGCTGCCCTGGTTTCTCACTCCGACTTATTGCCCACCTGCCGGTTCCCTTAGCATGCTCTGCGCCAACTACATCATGGCCGCCCGCTATGAGGGTCTTACCTGCACCGTTACTGCCCGCCGGCCCAGTCCCTCCTCGTCTTGCTCCTCATCAGAACCTGTGTGGGACATGTGTGGTGGGGACGGTCATTAGCAGAAAAAAGCCCCATGGATTACATCACACAGCCACCCTGTGACCCCCACAGGAAGCCTTCCTTGTGATAAAACGTTCCCCTACAATGAATGATCTCTTGGTTTTTTTCAGTGTCTTATCAAAAATCAAGAGTTTGATCTCAGGAATCTGAGCGAAACATCCCCTTGATTAAGAAATGTCGTAGAGTTTAGCATACACATCTACAAGCATGCCCGTCGATGCCGCGTATATAACTGTACCTGCCGGTGATTCGGGAGGGGAGTAGAACTGGCCTTCGGATATGCTGCGAGGGTGCAGCACAGGGACGTGCTCGTATGACGTGCTCAGGTCTGGCAGGTACGCTGTAGAGAAGACGGCTCATTAGGAGAGCCTGCTGATGTTCCCACGTAACCATCCTCTCCACCCCCGTGCTCCTCAACGCCTCTACCTTCTCGCAATCGTACCAGTGACATGCATCTTGCCGTTATACGCTCCCCAGCGCAATCCTTTGCTTTGTTGCTCGAAACGTACAATTTCCACATGGGGGATCAATAAAGTATCAATTAATTATTATGATTATTATACAAAGATCTACGGCAGACCCGGCTGGGATTTTCCTGGGATGACCTCCTGATTTCCCCCCCCCCCAGCCCCACAAACCTCTTTCTTCCTCGGCCTCCTGAGGCAGAACCTTGAAGTCCAGGAACCACGTCTCCAGCCAGGTCACCACGAAGGATGTGATGGGCAGCAGGTAGCCGAAGGCGTTGTGGAACAGCAGCTACGGTCCAGGGAAGTGGCACTGAGTTGCGGGACTCACTGTGGCCCGTATGTGTGGGGCTCTATTGCTCAGGATAAACCGCAGTATCGCCCTTTACAAAACACATTCTTCCTTATTTAAGGCCCGTGTCCACAGTAAAAATCAATAAAACAGGCAGAGGCAGTTAAGACCTTTACGCCAATTCAACACGCAGCTCTGCAGGAACCGCATGGTCTAATTGACCATTCTGCAAACTTACGCTTGCATTTGTAAACGTAGAGAATCAGCAAACCTGAACTGTAATTCAATGGCAGTGTCCGCAATCATTATTTTACTAATCAGGCATTAGGATGGCCCACTCGAGACCGGATTCATGAACGTCACACATAAATTCATCTAGGCGTCCTGGCTGCAATCTGCACTGCATCAGGAAGCTCTTTTATACGGAATGATATCAGATTCTCATAGAATTCAAAGATATTTACTGCAAAAGGCTGAAAATGCTATCTATACTTTGGAGAAAACCATTTGTAAAATAAATATAAAATGTGAAATGAGCACTGCAGGCCTTTGCTGACCGGTCACCCTGCTCATTTACATTCCCCCTCGTCTAGGAGGTAAGAGCGTGTTAAAAACAATTTCACCCATTACTCTAGGGCAGGTGTGTCAAACGCAGGGGTGTCAAGAGCCCTGCACAGTTTTTGGTTCACCCTCATTTAACACACCTGATTCACCTCCTTGTGCTAATTACCACGCAGCTCTTGAGCTGAATCATTTGTGGTAGAATAGGAAAGAACTAAGCTACACAGGACTTCGGCCCCCCAGGACTGGAGTTTGACACCCCTGCTCTAGGGCAATGTTGCCCAATCCAGTCCATGGGGACCCACAGACAGTTCGCATTTTTGCTTATAAATAGATAAATAAATAACATTTTGGACTGTTTGGCAGGCAGCTATGGAGGGAGCAAAAACAGACGTGCCCAAGGATGGGACTGGGAACTGCTGATCTAGGTCAGTGTTATTCAACCAACCCAATCCGTGTAAACACCCAGAGACAGTCCACATTGTTTCCTCACTCCTTCCCAGCGCACCTGAGCCAAGCAATCAGGAACAAAGATACCTGCTACAGGGGTCTTGGAAGCTGGGAGGGAGCAAAAATGTGGACTGTCTGGGGTCCTCAAGGACTGGGCTGAGAAACACAAGGGGAACAAATAGGGTATGTGGGGAAAGCTGGCAGTGCCGCCCACTGAGATGCCCGATTAGATGTGAGGTGACAGTGCCGGCCACTGAGATGCCCGTTTAGATGTGAGGTGACAGTGCCGCCCACTGAGATGCCCGTTTAGATGTGAGGTGACAGTGCCGCCCACTGAGATGCCCGATTAGATGTGAGGTGACAGTGCCGCCCACTGAGATGCCCGATTAGATGTGAGGTGACAGTGCCGCCCACTGAGATGCC